TACAGCCGTCAGAGGACCTCAAGTCCCTGACGTCGACCAAGATCTCTAGAGGTGAAAACCCCCAAAACGCCCTCAATGAGATGCTCCAAACCGCAAAGTCCTTAACCGAGAAAGGACTAATTGTCAACGAAACGTTCGTCCTTCACCTCTTCCTGGGTGCCCTTTCGGACGAGTATGCCATGACAAGCACAACCTGCGACACGCGAAGGAGTTGACGCGGACTGGTGTGCTAAAGGAAGTAATGATCGAATACAAGGCGATCAAGGCCAAGCTGGAGCAGGGGAAAGGAAAAGGGGCGAAGGGCGCAGAGGAAGCGCACTTCGCCGACGGTGAGGGCCGCAGGGAGCNGCGGCGGCGGCGGCGGCGGCGGTCGCGGCGGCCGGTCAGGCGGATCCGGAGGAGTCGAGGAGAGCAAGGGAAACAGCAGTGGAGGCGCTGATGGCGGCGGTGGCGGGGATTATAAGTTCCCGGGCCGGTGCTTTCGGCGAGGACATCGTGGACATCAAGCGATCGGCTGCACTCCCAACGAGAAGGACTTCGTGCCGTGTTGTGAGCGCTGCGAGGGGTGGGGCCACACCAAAGAAAAGTGCGCGACGGAGGAGGCCGTCCTAGCGCAAGTGGTGGAGCATGAGAGCGACGTGGACTCCGTGGAATACCAGGCGTTTTGTGCCGTGGCAGTTCCCCCAGGCGAGTGTGGTACCGTTGGTGAAGTAGGTCTAGTGAGGGTTGTGGAACAAGGCCAGGCGGTGTACGTGGCCGACACAGCGGCCCGTGCGCCATGTTCCGATGTGCAGACAACTTGGTGAACAACCGTGAGCGTAGCGGTTGGGTGAAGGGGATCGGAGGCGACAAGGCCCCCGTTCCTCTTCTAGGATACGGAGATGTGACCTTAGTCCTACAGACGGAAGGTGGTGGAGTATCCGTACCAGTACTGAATGCTGGCCATGTGCCAGAGGCCCCCTAAAACCTCCTCTCGCTGTCTTCGTTGGAGGAGGGCCACACGTATTCGGGGATGAAGAGGGGCCTCACGCTGACCACGACAGTCGGGGGGGGGGTGTGGTTCCCCCGGACTGGAAAGCTGCTGACCCAACGAGGCTATCGAATAAAGCCAACGCTACACACCGCCTGTGCCGCACTCACTGTTCCTGGCGATGCGAACGCAGCCACCCCCACTGACCTCAACGAGTACCACCTCGCGCACGGCCATGCCCACGAGACATTGCTCAGGATCACGGCGGAGCAGCAGGGAGTGCAGCTGACGGATGGACCGCTGCTACCCTGTCTGGGCTGTTCGATGTCCAAGGGACAGGTGAAACCCGTCCAGAAGAGCATGAGCATATGCGCAGTTAAGAAGTTGTTTCGTCATCTTGTGCTTATTTCCTTGCGTACGGATGACAGCTGCGTATGACTTTATTTACTTTCTGGTGCTTTCACTTCCAGAGACAGTTGTAAGCACTGTGTAACTGCCTCGAGGGTGCTTGACCATTTTAACACAACGTGGTGCGACCATCGCCCTTGCGCGGAGTGAGGGTTCTCCACCCCGCACAACATGATATACTCGACCACCATTATGGTTACCGCCAAAAAATAAGC